AAATCCCTTCTCTTCTCCCTTGGTGTGCGTCACAAACAGCCCATGCGGTTGTTTTGTGATAATCAGGCTGCTCTTCATATTGCCGCTAATCCGGTCTTCCATGAACGTACAAAACACATTGAGATTGATTGCCACTTTGTACGTGACGAAATCCAACGAGGTGTTTTGTGTACTCGCCACATCTCCACCAATGATCAACCGGCAGATCTCTTTACAAAGGCTTTGGCTTCCGCTCCGTTTTCTCATTTACTGTCCAAGCTGGGCATCCAGAATCTGCATGCTCCAGCTTGAGGGGGGGTATTGGAACTGAGAAGTCTGGATCCGGAGAAGTCCGACTTCCGAGGAATCCAGATTCCGAGAGATCCGAATTCCGAGAGGTCCGAATTCCGAGAAATCCGAACTTGAGAAGTCCAAATCCTTTGATGACCGAATCCCATTCTAATTAGGATTGATCTTGATTTATTTGTTTCCTAGTTTGATTATGATTTGTTTCCTTGTAGGATTTGTATTCCTTGTCTATTTTGGAATCATCATCTCCTATAAATAAAGGAGAAACCCCTTATAACTAAACAGAACAATTGAATATACAGAATATTTTCCCTCTTATTATTTTCTACAAAAATTATGGAATTCTTATTTTGGTATATTTTTAATATTTTATTCTTACTTTTTTCTTTTTATCTATATGAAAAATGTAAACTTAGTATAAATTATAAACCGATCACCCTTAATAGGATTAAAGCATATCGAAAGTAACAAAATAGAAGCTCCATGTTTTTATCTCCGAAATAGGCGTTTGCAACTGTGGTAATGTGGCACTGTATATTGATATTTCACAATACTTTTTGGTAATGTATATGATCATAATTGACACTTTATATCAAATTTAACTCCTACTTTGGGAATAAAATTATGGAAGTTTTAGTTTGATATATTTTTTAATGTTTTATTCATATTTTAGTCTTTTCCCCTCACAAGACAATAATGTCATCTTTGGGGGTGTTTGTTTTTTGGTGTGAAGATCTTCTAACCACTTATGTCTGCGCCGTGCAGACGCGGGCAGACATTAGGGACGCGTAGACTATTTGTTTTTTAGAAGACAAATCACTTAAAAACGTCTTCCAAACATCTTCCTCAAGCAGACATAAACCTTAGCTTCTCGCGTCTTCTCATCCTTCCGATCTAAACCTATCCGACTTCTCATCCGCCCCGATCTCAAAACCTACCCCTGCCGACTTCTCTCTCCCTCCGCCGGCGACTTCTCTCTCCCTCCGTCGTCCGCCGTCCGTCTTCCTCCTCCTCATACCTCCAGCGACGCCTCCTCCTCTCAAAGAAGTAAGTTTTTTTCTCTTATTTTGGTTTTTTTAATCTCTTTTTTTAAACAATTTCCATTGCCTTTTCCAAATCAAACAGTTCTGCACAATAGGAACAGATTTGAGCCCGTATAAATTAGGACTAGATAAACTGAAACAATTTCCATTTGTGTGCAGAGTTGCAAGCCATCTTGTCGGATTCCGCTCAATTGTTTATCGATCTCTCAAAGGTAATGTTCCGTGCCCATTTTTCTGACTAGATTATTGTTCGTTTGTTGAATTGTTAGATGTGAATTTGGGGTTTTGGAATTAAAAAATGAAAGCAAGCTACTGTTCTTGAGATTGTGTACAATCGGCACTGGATGAGGGAAGTGCCTTTGGTGTTGTTTGAATGTGTTTTTGGTTTACATATATATATATATACAGACTTGGGTTTTTGAGCAATCAAAGTTAAAAAAATACAACAACAATTAGGTCTCAACACAACAACATAGCATACCGTCGGGCCGGGGGCGACCCCCTTGACCCCCTGACTCACTGTTCGGGCAGCGAGACCCCCGTTTACTAATCTGCGTAACGGCAACACAATATAGATTCAAGGCATATTAACAAATCTCATCCTTGCCGGCAACGATTTGAATTCTATTATTTTACATGTTTTTTATTTTTTATATAATCGTGAACAATTTGTTGTTAATTGTTGCTAAAGATTGCTGTAGTAGTTTATGTTGTTGATTATTCTTATTGATTATTGTTGTTTCAGTTCTGATTTGTTTTTAATTGTTGCTAATGATTGTTGTAGTAGTTCATATTGTTGCTCTTTGTTTGTTAATTAACAGAAATGGGAGAAAAACAACAATGGTCAAATGAGCAAATAAAATGCTTATTAGAGACTTGTATTGAAGAGGTAAACACGTTGGGTAGAAAAGGGTTGAGTTTGCACAAAGAGTCGTGGAATAAGTTAGGAAGAGTTCTCAAGGAAAGGTTTGGGCTTGATTTGAGTCAAAAACAGATGAGAAATGCATATGACAACCTGAAAGCCAAATACAGTGGATGGGTGTATTTGAAAAACAAAACTGGCAACATATACAATGCTCAAACAAATACTTTTACCTTAACGAACGAGGAATGGGAAGATTTTAAAAAGGTATGTTCCTATGAATACTTTTTTCACTTCTAACTATAAACAAAACCAATAATTGTTTTTACTTTGGGTTTAGGGGCATCCAAAGGCTGGATCCTTGAAAACAGTTCCATTGCCTTTTCCAGAGCTTTGTGCAGAACTGTTTGATGGTAATGCTGCCACTGGGATGCACAAGTGGACCTCAACCCAACAAACATCACTGGATGCATCATCTTCTCATTGTCGTCCTAAACCACTTTTGCTACAAAACACTGTTTTGCATGAAATAGAAGATGATGTTACTGACACTGGTTATCAGACCTTTGAGAGTACTCGTGAACCTACTCCTGAGCCTAATCCCGATCGTACTTCTAAGCATAACTTTGAGAGTACTCGTGAACCTACTCCTGAGCCTTATCGTTATTCTTATGTACTTGTATGTCCGTTTTTTTTTGGAAGAGAGGTTTGAAACGATTGCGGGACAACGATTCAGAAATGACGGGACATAAATACACGTTAGAGTTATTGCAAGGAAATCCCAAACAATGCACTGAACTGCTACGTATGTCTCGTGAATCCTTTGTCCGACTATGTGCACATTTTAGAATGAATTATTCGTTAAAGGATAGTAAACATGTATCGGTTGAGGAGAAGATGGCTATGTTTTTGATGATAATCGGTCATAATCAACGTTATGTGGTTATCAAGCGTAGATTTCAACACTCAAAGCAAACTATTAATAAATTTTTTTATGAAGTCTTGGATAAGATGATGCTCTTCGCCAAAGATATGATAGTACAGACTTCATTCAATCCGAATCCAAACATTCCAGGACAAAACAAGAGGCTACGGCGGGTTTTTAAAGGTGCGGTTGGTGCACTAGATGGAACTTTGATACACGCAGTTGTCCCTAGT